GCTAGGCTCTCTAACCCAGGCACGACATGGAGGACAGGACTGAGGCTCCACAACCAGTAAGGTAGACAAAACAGCCAATGCATAGATTAACGTATTCACAATAATATGCACCATATCAAAGGGCAAAGAGAATGCCTTTTGTTCCAGGATGATAAGGGCAGCAGGTGAACAAGAGAGGGCTCAGAGATCACGTGATGAGGGTGTGCACTGCTTCTCCCCTCTGGAATCTAAAAACTGCTGTAGCTAATTACATTGGCGTGTGTGTTTTAGGGGAGCTGTTTGAGAAATATGCCAGTTCAAGGAGTGAAACCAGGCGGTCGTACCAGTAGGTGATGGCCCAGGACAGATTTTTTTTCTGTATCTGTTATCCAAAAGATGAATCAAATTCCAGGGCCTAGTGCCTCCAGTGAGAGAGCAGTCCTCCCTCTTCAGGAATGAACGCGGTGTTCTTTCTCCAGTCTCCCTCTTCTAACAGTGCAGTGCACCTCCTTGACTCTTCCCACGCTTCTGGGCCTCCTAAGGTCCTCCAGTCTTGCCAGATCTCCTGTAGCTTCTTCTGGAATCTGCCAATGCTTTTTAGGACTCACTGTAACTAAGCCATCAGTAAAATGTCTGTGCAATGTTTTCTGTGTGCATTTGATTTTCAGGAGAGGTGAGAATTCGAAACCGATTGCAAAATGGTTTTTAAACCATTACATGCTGATTTATATGGGGCCATTTTTTATTTAAATAACTTCAAGTTGATGGGATCATGTTTTCTATAAATCGCCTGTAAAATCTACAGTATCAGAGTGCAATAACATTGCTTTGTGTGTGAGGCCATATTTACTTGGAAAGCAGGCAGATGGAGCCAGGCCAGATTGGCAAGTGGAATTAACTCTTATCAGTGGGTTGTGTGTGTGTGCACGATAGCTGCCTGTAGTGCAGAGGGTGTGGGGCACTGACAAGTCAGCTCTCTCAGGTGTGCTTTCCTGGTGAACATTAACCCGGAGACAAAGCCTGCAGGAGCCAGGTACACACAGTTGCCACTCCCCTCTCCATCTACGATGGAAAAGCTGCAGTGAGTCAATTCAATTCAATTCACTGCACAGAGTCTCTCTCTGTGCAGTAACCAGAAGGGCAAAAGGAAGCTGACAAATGAGAGGAGGCCACTTAGCTCACTGAGCTTGTTAATTTGCTGTAATTAATTAATCTGAGGATCTCTTCCAGACCCTTCTTGAAAGAAACCAGGGCATCAGCTTCAACAACATTAATGGGTAACATGTTCCAGGCCCCTATAAATTGCTTTGTAAAGAATTGCCTCTCATTCTCTGTTTTAAATGCAGAGAACATTAGTTTCGACTTGTGTTCCTGTTCCGCTGTTGGATCTAATGAAGTCACTTGACTTTATCCTACTCCTTAGAGGATTATGAATATAGTACTTCAATCAGGCCCTTTTGCAGGTTTTTGATACTGTATATTTTAGGCTGTCAGTGTAGTATATGACTTTGAGCCTGGGTTTAAAAAAAATGGCTAAAGAATCATTGCACAAAATTCAGCCACTGTAACAGCTGAAGCATTTTTATGTCCCTTGTATGTCATTTTATTGATGGAAGCAATCCCGTTTGAAAAAGACAGCAGTGAACCCTGCACTTATCAACTGCAATTAGTATCAATAAAATGCGAGGTTATAAATCAGGATTCATATTTTCCTTGTTTCTTTAAGGTCTGGTTGTGGCTGACGTTTCCAGAGTGAAACCGCGGGTTATCGAATGTGTGTCTTGGGGGCACCAACACGTTTTGGCTCATTTGAATAAGGCAGCTTCACCCGTGCGTGTCTGATCATGCAGGTCCTCTAATTCCACTGCCTGGAGATAGAGAAAACATTCAGAACAGAGGGCTGTGTGGCTCTCAGGCAAGAGAATCTCTTCAGTCCTCTGATTGCCCATAGTGAATTTTACCACCTTTATCCTGAATGTTGACTTCCCTTGCCTTATCATGCTTTGCTAAACCTTTTTAACTTTTACTATGGATTTTCTCCTTTATTCCATTTCAAGCTTTTTCTGGGCCTTCCTTGGCAGTAATCTGCTTTTGCTGTGATTTTGCATAGTCAGCTACTCTCTCTGTCGTTTTCATCCATTTCCCCTGCAGGCCTATGCAAGGACATTCCAGAGTAAAGTTCCAAGAATTTCGATATTGGTCTGCCGTCTCTGAAGCAAACATACCCCTTTTGTTTTAATGGTGACTTGATTGTTTAGTTGGGCAGAAAACCCTCTGCCAGACAGCAAGCGATACGATGTTTCACCCACCTCCGAGGCCCGAGACAGGGCGCCGTCTTCCCTGCTGACTCAACCTGGGGCCTAGCAGCTAATCTGCCCACTTCAAAGCATCTCCCCCCCCCCAGCTGATTGCTGACACAGAGGTTGAACAAAAAGGGAGCATTTAAACGAGATTGTCCCATTTATCTCATTTTAATCGCTGTCGTGTTCTGGCACGCTCAAAAACGAATTCAACTTTCACCCCCCCGGGCATCATTTCCTGGCTCTCCTGTGAAACCCGATTACGAGGCCCGCACTCCTGGTGTCGCCCCGCGCCCTCGCGCAGACCCGCTCGCTGCAGCAGGGCAAGGACAGACCTCGCCCTCTCCACCCGTTCACCTCCCTCTCTGTCCGCTACGTGAGCAGCCGCTGTGTTGTGCAGACGGGGAACGAGGAAAGGTTTATTCCCTGCTGGAAAGAGAAGAAAGGTGTAAAATCTTCGGGTGTGATTTAAGTGCACACCTGGAGAAGGCTCCACAGCCGAAACGTTGTTTCCTTTCTTCTCTTTCCAGCAGGGA